TACTTGAAAATTCGAATTATCCAGTTCCAAATTAATTAAGAATTTGCACGGTCCGTATTGTAAAACACTGCCACTTACTTTGTCGAGATTCTACCGTACGTATGTTTGTTTTCTATACATACAGACCACCAAGAAATTATCGTTGGAATTTTAGTCCATAGAGATGGAGTTGAAATGTTTTGAGAGACGCGAGGATAATGTTAAAATATCGCCCGAATGAACGACTCGAGAAGGAATTTCTTAAAGATTACATGTATATTCATAAGCGAAGTGTATATTTTGTGGAATTACTTGAGAATTCGAATGATCTAATTTTCAATTAATTAAGAATTGACACGGATTGCAAAGCATTGCTACTCGGTTTGTCGAGATTCTACGAGTATGTACGTTTGTTTCATACATATACATGTATATCGATTGATGGAAAATTATCGTTGGAATTTGGTTTCGTATAGACGGAGTTGAAGTGTTTCGGGAGACGCGAGGACAGTGTTAAAATAACAACTCGCGCCCGCACGAGGAGCGTATTCGGGTACCAATGAAATCTGGCGGGATTATAGAATTTTCAGAAGCTCCGTGGCATTAGTCTTTCACTGGAAAGTGGAGCATAGGAAGGAAACCCCTGCTCGCATTCAATCTCCCTCGTCATAACTGCAAACAGAACCCGTTCTCCAATTATGCGCGCAAAGTCGACGAATAAAACTCGCCCGCGGAACGTATTATTTGCATCCCCCGCGCCGTTGGGACCGCAAGCCCCTATTAAATTCTTGAATGACCGCCGTTGCGAGAGCACCGGCGAATCTGTAAATAGGCTTCGATGCCGGGCGCATCTTGAACAATTCCCCCGACGATTCAGACGCTACGAATGTTATATGAGCCGGGGAAATATCGCGAAACCAGATCTTTCAGCGAAAGCTGTTGAATATTTCTAGATCATATTTTCATATAACACGTTGACGGTCACTCGGAAATCGGTGGTAGACGACAGAAGCAATTTTATTGTTAATTAGTTGATTCTTTAGGAGTTCGATCGAGACTTCCGTCATTTGCCTACATTCACAAGCATTGGCCGGCTGTAGACATTTACGTCAACGTATTAAGATTATATTCTGATCATATTTATAATTTATAATTTAGTATACCAAAATTCTTCTAAAAGTAAAATATCCATTCATCTTAGAAAATTCCACTAATGAGTAAAAACCGAATATTACATAACTTCCTAAATTTGTCAGAAAGGAAGTGGAGTTTCATGGGAAGTTTTATTCAGTATCTCAGATAAATCTAAAATTATTGGAGTTGAATATATCAAAAAGGAAGTAGAGTTTTAGGGGAAGTTTTATTCAGTGTCTCAGATAAACCTGAAATTATTGGAGTTGACATATCGAAATGAATGATTGCGTTGTTAATTCGTTGCTACATGAATGTTTTCGCATAATGGCTGATTGGAAAAGCGAACACGGAAGCTCGCGAGCATCCAAGGTCCGATCACCGCGATTAACGTATGCGCCGTGCATCGCCGATAACGTTTCCGCCGTTCCCCCGATCCGCCGGTCGAATTGCAACGAATAATCCCGCAAAGTGCACCCGAGTGGATCGGTAAACAAGCGTGCGCGATCACGTTGCATCCTGATGCGGCCCCGATCCTGCGTACTCCGTCTTCGCGTATCGAAAACATTATATTCTGCTCGGGGCGCACGTGCACGGTTGCACGCTCGGAATTCAAAGGCGGCGAATCGATCAGCCCCCGGGACCGGAAAGAGACATTAAAGGGGGAAGACGATTCAGCGAAGCGGGGAGCGGCAGGCGGATGGAAACGGAACGGACGGAATAAAAAGCAGCGGGAACGCGAGACGCGGAAGAAAGAGGCCGGGGATGAATGGGCGAAGGCTCGAGCAAGGTTCCGCGATTATTCATCAGGGTAAGCAAGTCGTCCGAAAGCGATTACCGTGTCCTGACGATGGCCAATCTATCGATTATTTGCGTGCCTTGATTCTCGTCGATATAGTCGCTGGTTATAGGGAGGAAAATATTAAACGAGATTTAATTGTTTTTAGAATTGTCAAGGTGATGGGGTTTGAGTTTAGTTTCAGACAGGTTTTGCGACGTATGGTTTAACTTTGTTACAGTAAGTTCTTACTGGAGTTGTTTTCGAATAGAGTGCATTGCATTCGAAAATGTCGTATTATCTATTCACTGGTGATATTACACAGTTTCGAATTTTCAAATTTTCACATTTTCAAGCTTTTAAAACGTCAAAACTTCAAAACTTCCAGCTTTCAAATCTTCAAGCTTTCAAAACTTGAAACCTTAAAATCTTCAAATCTTGGAATATTGAAACCTTAAAACTTGGAATATTGAAACCTTCAAAAACTTCAAATCTTCAAACCTTCAAACCTTCAAACCTTCAAACCTTCAAACCTTCAAATCTTTAACTCTTCAAATCTTCAATCTTTCAAATCTTCAAACCTTCAAATCTTCAATCTTTCAAATCTTCAAACCTTCAAATCTTCAAAATTTTTAAAATTGAAACCTTCAAATCTTCAAATCTTCAAACCGTCAAATTTTCAAATTTTCAAATTTTCAAATCTTCAAATTTTCAAACCTTCAATTTTGAAACCTTCAAAAACTTCAAATCTTCAAATCATCAATCTTTTAAATCTTCAAAATTTTAAAAATTGAAACCTTCAAAGCTTCAAAGCTTCAACTCTTCAAATTTTCAAAACTTCAAACCTTCAAACCTTCAAGTCTTCAAATCTTCAATCTTTCAAATCTTCAAACTTTTAAAAATTGAAACCTTCTAATCTTCAAATCTTCAAAGCTTCAAAGCTTCAAACCTTCAAGTCTTCAAATCTTCAATCCTTCAAACCTTCAAAACGTCAAAACTTCAAAACTTCAAACCTTCAAACCTTCAAACCTTCAAAACCTCAAAACCATGAGAAAACTGAATATCGCGTCACACCGAAGCAACACATTATCCTCCATTATTCTCATCATAATTACTAGCAAACAGCCCCATAAAGGTATCGATAACGCAATATACAGAGAAACCGAAACAAAACGTACCCCCTGGAAGTCGCGAAGCCGTCCATCCCGAAGGTTTGCTTCCAGATTAAGCGACGATCGTTCACGACAATTCTGGACGAACAAACAGGGCGCGGATTAACCGCGTTTACGCGTCGAATCGATACGTTGGTGGAGACAGAGTGGCCGCTCTAATTGTAAGCGTTCCGGTGCCGGCACGGCGGCGGTCCCGGTGCGCAAACACGCGTGTGCGTTCGCGGGGGTTGCGGGTCGCGTGGCGATTCTAACAGGTCCCGAAAATCCAGTCGCGGCCGGGACGCATTACACGGCTGGAACGTGTTATCCGGCTTAGTTCTGCAAACAGGACGGGAGTGCGCAAGGTTGCGAACATAACCCGAATGCAATATGCATGGCAGCGGCGTGACGCGCGTCCGCGGGCCCCGGCCCGAACACTTTCGATATTCTCGATACGGTCGCAGACGATCGAACCCCTTCGACCCAGGAGCGTTCCCGACGAAAACGAGAATAAGACGCCTATTTAAACGCGGAGGTCTCTGTCGAGGAATTAAACGTTTTGTTTATTGATTCGGTCCTCCGCGATTCGGTATTTCGGGATGTTCGTGCGGGTCGATGGAAACGTGGTTTTCTGGGGAAATTCTTGGGAATGCTTTGAACAGTTGGCGGGTTGCGATAGTTAGCTATTTTAGTGGACAATGAACGTTAGCGGTTCCGAGATAGTCGGTACGCTTTTAACCCTTTCGCAGAATGCTGCGTCAACGCGTATTTCTGAGAGAGGGGATTGAAACCGTGGAAACAGTGAATCGAACTGAATGAAACCAAAATAATCAGATTTATATGACTAACGGAAGATGTGATTGTTGAATTAGAATTCACTTCGATCTAAGATTTGCGATTATTGTCGCTATGGGCGTCAGCGGTACGAAATTTTTCAAATGCCTTTAGGCGCCAGCAGGGGTTAATCAATTACAATAGAATACTCAACACTTTCGAAATATTAAAATAACTAATATAACCTGTATATACCTACAACTCATGCTGTAAATCAGGGTTCACTAAAAACAGCTCTACACTGATGATAAAAATACAAACAGCAAATTTTACTCGCATCGGATACAACATAGAAATCCACGTTTCTCTTAACACTAGAACTACCGAGCATTTAATGCGATTAACATGCAATTCTCATAAAAATTGTAACAATAGATTATTTTCAGTTTCTTCGGACATAGGTTACTCGAATGAAGCTATTTATTTATTTTACAAACGTATTATGTATCACTTATACACTTATAAATCAGAATTCCCATAGATTATTCTCAGTTTCTTTAGACAGTCGTTATAGTACTCAAATGAAGCTATTTTCAAAATCATTTCGAATATTAAATGCTTCGAAGATATCAATAATTGCTAAAAAAAATCGAAACCAGTCATTTCGACTGGGGTAGTTCTAGTGTTAACGCGCTCACTGCCATGAGAATTTTAGGCATTCTATACAATACTCCTCATTCTTTTATAATGACAAATCTTATAGTAACCCATTCACTGTTAGCACAAAATGTGATTCCATTTATACTCTCAATTTATTATTTCTATTACGCTACATTTCAAATACAACCAAGCTTGTACCAAACTGGCAATCTCTTACGAGTATACTCGTGACCGGCAGTGAATGGGTTGACACAATCAACATTACAATCACCAGAAACTCTCTTATCTTATTCCACCCTGCGGTCCGCAATATTTTCCCAACACGATCGAAGCCACCAAAAGCCGACACAGAATACGAGTTACCAGCATGCCCGCGTTAACCGAACGATCCCCTTCTCTCGATCGGTCCCGGCGACAGAAAGATTCCGTGACGTGACCTGCATGCCGAACGCAAGCTTCACGCATTGTAAATATCGCGAGCCGTCCCCGGCCGATCGATCATTAACCTATCCGGATCTTTGCTCTATTCACAGGATCTAACGTACGCGGAGGGCGGCCACAATTGGCGGAGCATAATCTTCTCGCTGCTGGTCATCGGCTTCGTTATCGCCGGGATCGTCACGGCCATTTACCTTCTCGGGTGAGTGTGCGCCCGCGGGGCTTCCCGCCGATCGTTTCCCAGCGGCGGCTGGTATCCGGGAGCCCATCTTTCGGCGAATTTGAACCGTGACGATGGCTCGACGAGAAATAAAGAGGGAGCAGGACGAAGAGATAAAGGCGAAACGGCGGAAAGGAACCGGCCGATTAAGGAGCCAGAAGTATCCTATCAGATGTAGACGGCTCTCGCGAAATTAATCCGCCCGCCTCTATCCTGGGAATCTACGGATCCTTTTAGCGGCGCGGTCCTGCGACCAGGACCACGGGAGCATAACCCCGAAACGGATCGGATTCCGATCGGGCTGGGGATTTTACGAGAGAACCCGGGTATCGGGATCGCTGATTCGAGGCTAGTCGTGTGAATGGGACCATTAAAATCCGAACGCCGGTTGTTCGTTTCTCGTAAAAAGGATTATTTTATCGGTCCGGCTAATGGGAACGCCGAAGATCGAAGGTGTTGGCCGGTCAAAGTGTTGTCGAACGATTTCTACGCGACGTTTCGGTCACCGGGAACGGAACGATGTTTGATTTAATATTCCGTTTCGAGCTTTGACGGATCGATCGGGGATCGCGTTGACCAGTTAACTGTGGAATTTGGTTGCAGAAACCTCTCGTTCTGCGCGCGATGAAATCGAAAAATGGAGCGTGTACTCGTCGAACGCAGGACGAATTTTAACCCTTTGCACTCGAGAGCTGACAAGTCACCATTTGATTTGACGCAGTAAAATTAGGAAATTTGATGTTTAATATTGAAGTATGTATATTGCATTGGTGCGTGAATTGGATAAAGAAGCTTTGTTCTCAATTTACCTGTGATTTCTCTTTGAATTCATCTAAAAGAACCATTGTCTTTGTGTAGTTAGAGAATATTAAGTATGTCGTTAGAAATACTTCCGAGTGCAAAGGGTTAATGAAAGATCAAAGCGAAACAAAGAATTACATGTTTACATGAAAAAATAAATAATTCATGAAAGAATTATCATGTCGAGCTTTACGATGACGTGTATATTCGTCAAACAGAGTTAACTGGTTAACACGTAAAGTTCGGCGGGGAACGCGTTAACGGTGAGTTTTCCACGAAGAACGTAGGATTATTGTTATAGCGAGCAGTTCTGCGGGCTATGAATAATATTTAACGTGTAATTATACGTGTAACTGAGTACGCCGGACGTGAATTTAGGTACGTCGACGAGCTGCTGTACTGGAGCGGCAGGCGCCTCACGTTAGACGAGTGCCTTCGTGATGATCTGACACCGCACAGGTTAACACCGACCTGGGTTTCCCACGACAAGTTTGTCTACCAAGCTGACGACGGCTCCCTCACTCTCCTGGACACCAATAACAATTCCGTGTCCCTTCTTGTCTCCAATCACACGCTCGTAAGTATCATGTTACCGCAAATTTCCCGTGAAAACAGTGAAATCGATCTGCGAGTTAATTTCACCGAACTGCGAAACCGCTGGATAGACACTGTCTCCGTAGACGACTGTATTCGAACAATTTCGAACGACTCCCGGTATTTATCGGGACTATTTATTCCAACACTATTGCGACATTTATTAATAACAGGGAAATATTGCACGATGTTTCTAATTGCTGCGATATTATTTCAACTGTTTCACCGAGATCCAATAATCATTCTCAGTAGCCTTTAAATGTTCAGAAGTAAACTTTATCTAATTAGAAACACTGATTTAACCTTAATACTGCCGAGCAGTTAAATTGACTTTTCGAAATTCCTCTATAGAAACTTCAAGTGCATCCACCGAGACTTTAATTGATTTGTAATTCACTTGGCGTATCGCTAATTCAGTTTCTTTGATAATTTCTCAGACATCTGTAGTCCTTTTAATAATTGCAAAACGAAGAAATGAGTCGTTTTCACCTGACCGGTAGTTAATGTTAACCCTTTGCACTCGGAAGTACTTTGCTAGGTATATTTAACATTTTCTAACTAGACGAAGACGGTGATTTTTAAATGAACTCAAAGAGAAATCACAAGTGAAGTGAGAAACTTGTTTATCCCAATATTTCACACCGATGCATTATACATAGTACAATATTAACCCTTAGCACTCCACATAGTTTTGTTATAAGTCAGTAACTCCTACCAATTTTTATAGTAGTCCTACTGAAAATTAACAATGTTATAACATTTCTTAGACCTTTCCCTTCTCAGTACAAACTTTGTATATTTGGAAGATCTAATAATCTTAAGGTAGTTTTCTTCAAATTCATTAAAATATTTAATATTAGAGCTGGTGGAATATTTGAGCCTACAGAGTCCAAAGGGTTAAATATCAAATTTTATAGTTTCACTGCATCAAATCAAGCAGCGACTGAGAGTTCGAACTACCAGAGCATCCGATAAAAACTGTCGTTCCTCTAAAATCGCCGTGCTCGCAACGCGAGACGCCTAAAATACACATTTTCCATACGGTCTTTGCTCCCTTCGTGTTTCGCGTTTCACGTAACCGCGAAAATTCAGATCGCGGGGATAGGAGAATCGGCGAAAATTAGCGAAATCGAACGGGAATCGGGAAAAAAGGTCGGCTGACCGGTAAACTCGCACTCCATCGGACAACGGGACGAGCACTTCGCAGCCAGCGAAAACCTTTCGAAATTGTTTCGGAACGCCGGCAGTCGAGTGCCGTGTTCAATCGAGCGAGAGTGTATCGCGAGCAAATTTTTCGGGAAGCGGCGCGGCGGTATCTCGCCGGAAATTCGCCGGGCGATCCGATAAAAGCCGTGTAACGAGCAATCGTCGGCCGGCCCGGCGGGAGAGCGTGAAAATTAATTTCGGTCGCTCGCGCCGGGAAACACGGGGACAAGTATTTTAAAAAGCTCGACGCGTATCGAGCATTCGCCCGTCGATATTTATCGCGCGCGCCGAGGATTCCGTTCCCCGGCGTCCCGTGCGTCCGGGAACGGCTGTCTTGGCAATTCCCGGCGTTGCCCGGGGTGAGCCGGAGACGATTGTTTCAGCGCCGATTTGCATAACCTGCCGCCCGGTGTTGGTTGAATTTTAATATCTCCATGCATCTTCATGAACTCGGCTCGCTGTATAATTCCGCGGCGTGCGCAGCTGCGCGGCTGCCAATGGAACGGGAAGATTTCGGAGGAACTAATAAAGTGTTTGTTTCGTTCCGATATCCGTCCGAGCTGCTCCATCGTTGCGACGAAGTGTGTTCCGGGATAGACTCTGGGAACGATGATTTAAATAGTAAACGATGGTCTACGCAGTCATTGACCCGTTGAAGTTCTATGGGAAATTGACGACCGTGTGGATGAAATTTGAGCAACCTTGGAATGACTGAAACTCGAAGATAGATTTTAGTGAAATTTTCTGTTTGAAGATAAGAGGAGCTTCTGCAGTTTAATCGCGTTTATATGGAATTGAAGAATTCTTAAGTAATTTGGAATGCAATAGATATGTTCAACTTTCTACTTTGTGGGGAGTTTGTATATTTAACCCTTTGCACTCGGGAGGTGACTCTCAGTCACCACTTGATTTGAAGCAAAATTATAAAGTCATCAATACGTGTAGTATTGAAATAAATTAACTATCCTTAATTCATGTATGTTTTCTCGTTAATTAGTTTCAAAGAACATCGTCTGTATCCCATTAGAAAATGTTGCATATTTCTAGTGAAAAACTTTGAAAGGGTTAACCCTTTGCAAGAGTTTTCCACCGAAAATACCAAACAGAATTTTTGCGATGAAATGTAGTCGAGATTTCTGGAAGCTGACTTGAGAAATCGTTCGTGAATTAACCCTTTGCACTCGAGAGGTGACTCTCATTTGATTCGATATAACAAAATTACCAAGTGTTATGTAATATGAAATTTCATATAATCAATGTGTGAGATATTTCTATAAAATAGCTTTATCTCTTGATTCACGTGTTTTCTTATTAGTCATGTCGGAAAGCGTCGAATATTTACAGTGAAAGGTTTCCGAGTGCAAAGGGGTAAAGAAGCTGTTTTTTGAAATTAATATTGAATATTATACTTCGTAATTTTGCGCAGCAAATGGAGAGGCGATTGAGAGACGTCAATAGAGTGCAAAGGTTAAAATTTGTAAATACATACATGGAACGTATTTTTCTGTCGAAGTTCATTTCCGAAAGTTTCGACTGGAGGGTGCGACTTAATTATGCTTTCTCGAGGTTCGCCGAGATACCGAATCAACAGAGATTTCTGGAGACAATCAGTCAAGTCGCAGCCAATCAGGATCGTAGTAGAATCGATCGCGGCCGTCGAATGATCCATCATGTCACGCAACACACGAACGGATCGTTACGCAATTCAGAAATGTGTTTCTCTGCCAATTAATCCGCGGCTGGTACCGTTACATTGCGCATTATGATCCATATCGCAATTAGTCTATTGGACGGCTCGTTAATGAACCTAACAAATCGTGATAATTAGCACTGCTCTGCCGGGGGAGGACAATTTGTCGCGTGCTCAGTACGTCGGACTAAGGACTTTAATTCGCGGATTCATTAGAGTTAAATGGCTTTTCCGTTCCATTCGTGTCTTTTTCAGCGAATATCGCCGCGAATACTGTCAAATTATACGCGTCGACCGACGCCTAATTGAATCGGGAATTTCGTGCTTCGACATTTCTGTAAATGGACAGTCCATAAGCGGATCTTCACGAAGAACTGTACAGACCATTTTTATTCGCTTTCTTCCGATGAATTCTCTCCGATGGATGACAATGAAAAGATACAATACAGTGAAGTCTGGGTTAATTGCTCGTTCTACGCAGCGGCCTTGAACAAAAAGCGAATCTACATAAAACTCTACATAAACCGATGCGGTAATATTTTTCGTATCGCCGGAAATTAAGGGAAACAGCTGCGAGGAGGGTAAAAACGCGGCGCGAGAGTGCACCTCGAAACGAACTCGCCCCGTTTAACCGTAAATTACGGAATACATTTTCCGCGAGCCACCCGGTACATTGTTTGTCATCGTACGTCAAGGGTTCGGGTGAAAAATTGAGTAAAAATATCCCGGTAACAGTCGTAGCGCGGCGTCGACATTTCCCACGCGAGCCATCAACATGTCCCGGCAAAACAACGCCGCGAAAACGGGAATTCTGAGACGCCCCTGCAACGGGCCACACCATAAACCCCATTTTAACGAATTACCGGGCTGCACGACGGAATTAATGAAACGCGGGGGACTGGCCGGCCCGGCGACCGTCGGCTCGATATTAATCGTAATTCAACGAAATTTCGAGGGAACATCCCGCGATTAAATGGGATAAATGTTCGGTTAATTTCACTTGCGCGTTGCAATAGAAAAATGAATGTGATGTATGTCCTTAACTATTCGCGGTGAATTAATTATAACTTACTTTCTTATATTTATTTTCAAACGCTTCGGGTTCAAGTTCACGAGTTAACCCCTTACTGTACAATGACGAGTGAGACTCGTGATGATTTCTAGACAAATTTAACAATCAATGTTGTTCGTTATCCACGGATCAAAACAACTACTTTGCTATTATCAATTTATCTTCAAATGAAATTTCCACTTCAAGTAAAATGGAAAATTTTGATTTCTTCCAAATTGTCGATTGCTCCAAATGTGCGAACTGTGTTCAATAATTAAAGGAACTGTTTATATTCTAGTTAGCTCTGAATGGGTTACTTGCTGCATGTTACAACTGTTAGTGTGAGAGTGAAATTGTTAATGAATCATCAGTTATCAGTCATTTGTCAAGGAACTCGTGTCTGCGTACAATTTAGCAATTTAATATTTTCTTGCGTAATAATCGCATTGATAGAACGTAAATAATTATAATGTCGAGTTTACGCCGTAAGAGCAAAAAGGGTTGAAAGTTCAAGAACATAAATAGCAGATCACTTCGACCTATCTAGTACTCCTACTATTGAACGCATAAATAGCTTGAGGTGTCGTAAAGAGTAAGCACATGCCTCCAACAAAATTCATGGCGGAGATAACCGTAAGCCTTCAGACGATCGCAATTAAGGATATTAATCCGAATAACTGGAGACCGTAGTACCGTCTGTTTGCCATGTCTTTCGATTAACCTAACAAAATTCATTAGAGAAACAATAGAAAGATGTACATCGTCGTCGTCATCGAATATTTGACCTGCAAGACTTCCTTTTATAAAGCGTACCATACTTATTACAATTTCACTGATCCACCAAAAATATTACAATATTTAACCCTTTGCACTCCGAGCAACTTCGAGTCATTTCTAGTATGAGATCTTATTTTCTCATTAAAAAGAAAACGCGTATACATTTTAATGTTATGTTCTATTAATACAACTACAACATAACAAACACAGCAATACGAGAAACCATTTATAGAAAACAAAATTGTTTCTAGACGCCGCGCCGCACAGTGCGGTCAATCGGCCGATTTCTGGGCAAAACTCAATAACTTAGAAAGTATGAGTGACGCAAGCAAATGCTTCAGACGAAAGTTGTAAAGTATAGAGCTAAATATACGACGGTTACTTTTTTATTTAGATTACAGGAATATTATGAACTTTTTTTAAACGATAACGGACATTTGGCGTTTCGATTCCAACGTTACATAAATACAGAAACGGAGTTTAATTACACAAACTGATTGTCGTTTGAAAAATGACAATTTTGACAGGTACTACTTAGCAACACATTGCTAACCTTCAATTCTCGTTACACGAATAGTCGAATTTAACCAGTTAACTGAGTTTAGTTGGAAAAACCTCTGGTTCTGCGCGCGATAAAATCGAAAAATGCACGCAGAGTATATTTCAATGAAAGATCACAGCGAAACAAAGAAGAATTACATGTTCATGTGAAAAAATAAAGAATTCATGAAAGAATTATGTCAAGCTTCACAATGACGTGTATACTCAACACACAGTTAACAGGTTAAGTTGATTAACAATTTCATTAAACTCCCAAACCTTTCCCTCTCGTAGCCCGCCACAGTCGAAAGTAAGTTTTCCCCGACAATCGTACGAATTACGAGCAGGCGATCCCCAAAGCCCATTTCACGCGATGCAGATGAAAAATCGTCCTCCTGGAGGAGTCGTGGACGCGGAATGACAGGGGCGAAGGGCAGCGGAGGCAATAAACAGCCTTAACCTCGGTATCAAACGGCCGCCGCGTCCCTTCGAGCCTTATCCATCAAGGAGGCGAGCGCGTAGCCCGCAGCGCGCCATAATACAAAGAGTGTGGCCCGTGTATAAGGCAAAGTTCGAGGTATTCTCCGGTTTATTCAAGGGAAAGGGGGTCACTCCCCTGCCCCCGTCCCGTTCGAATATTGCATTTTCTGCTCGATGGAACGATTCGTGCCCTCGAGCGGCGGCGGCGGCGGCGGCGGCTCCCAAAAACGATAGACCGGGGCAAACAGAAACCGACGGGAATTCCGCTGGCGATGGCCTCGACCGACGAATTCCGCGGCGCTTCGTACGCACGGAATAATTTTAAAACGGGACCGTCGCGCTTTGATCGAAACCACCCTCGATTCCGCGTTCGTTAGCGATGCGATCTTTACCAGGGATCCGATGTTAAGTGCCGTTCCGCGCGGCAATCGGAACGGTGTGCTTCGTATTCGAGCTTTCAGTGGAATGTTCTTGTTTCAATTCTTGAATGCTCACGTTTTTAAATTAGAAGCAACACCGAGATCGAACGAGATTCGGTGCGGAATTAGAGAAACTATTTTATGGAGGGTGTTTCGTTTGTACATCGTGCGGAGGGATTATCTTGAGTGTGTTTTACGTGGAAGGTTATAGTTGTTGTTGAAATTGTATCGAATTTTATCGAAAATTGGAAGGATGTCATTAATGATGTTGTTCAGGAATAGTTAATTAATGTTGAGAGTTTCCGGGAATAGTCATTTAATATGTTCAATGCCACGGGGGTCACCGGTGACCCTCAAGGAAATCGAGTTACTACAGTTCATTGAATAAAGCGATTATTATTTCTATTTTAGAATATATTACTATTTTATAAATAATATTTATAATTGTATATATAGAAGATATTTCTATTTTATAAATAATATTACCTAATGCAGTGACATTCTGCAGTAATAATGCGACTCGATCAAATGATTTGATATATTTCTTCCATTTCGTGTATTTTCTCTATAAAACGGCATTCGATGTGTTAATTAATCGAGATTCTAAGAGAAGAACGATTTTACGAGCAATCTAATTATTTTGTGAAACGGGCGACGAATAGGAAAATCGAAGTGTTCCCGCCCAAAGTGGCCCGGCTCCAAAACTCCGCGTTTCCGTTTCTTCCTGGGTCAGCCGTATAGATGAACGGACACTCCGCATTGATCCGATCTGTCGTCCAACAGGACACGCCGCGCTCGTCCCGGTGTCCTTTCAGAAACAAATATCGACTGCTGCCTGGTCGATTCCATGCATGTCCACCGGTCGCGTTAATATCGCGCACGGGAGCGTCGCCGATGCGTTTATCTGCATTTTCGCGAAGCAGAAACTACTCCCCCGGAACTCGTACCGAACGGTTCGCGAGAAACTGATCGGAACGCTTGGAAATCTCACTCCGCGGTGTAATTAACAATCAAAATAACCCAGTTCCGCGCGTTCAGCTTCGCGGAACGTTTATTTAATCGGCGAAGTAAACCACCGGGTCTTTTATAAACTAGAATTTTGTTTCATTCTACGCGCTGGCGTGCAGAACGGAATGAAGCAGGAATTTTAATGAAGTTCAGCGAAATTCTCGTTGCATTTTTCAGCTTGAGAAATCCGCCACGCGGAGAAACAGTGTAACTCGAATTCCCCTTCTCGTGTATCAAGCCGCGGAGATATGAATCCCTCGTAATTACCTGTTATCTAATAAAATATTCCGGGTTTCGGATAAAAAGCAAATTACTCTAGGTTAAATTTAAATCCGAGAAACTTACTATCCCGTTTCCGGAAAAGTACCGGACGGGTCAAATGACCCATCTTTTTGTAATTATTAGAAAGGTGACAAATGTCTGAATTATTAAAGAAATTCATTTACTACGCGAATTGAATTATAAATCAAAGTCTGAACAGATGCACTCTCGGAGTTTCTATAGTGAAATTTTAAAAAGTCGATTGAACTGCTCGGTAGTTTTAGTGTTGACGCTGTTCGTAAGGTAATCACGAGCATAATGAAAGCTCTAGATCGTGCGCCAAAATTCCGGGTAACTTTCTACCCGCAGATGAACATGCGAACCAGCATAAACGTTCGTCTAGCGATAACATTCGCCGCACCGGCGTCCCAAGTAAAAGCGCGACGAGTCGCGTCGCGCGTCGTCCGACAGATATCCGCTTGTGAACGCTTTTAATCCGTTGAGCCAAACAATTCAAAGGCATCGAACGAACACGTACCGTCGAATAAGATAATCCCGATGCTATGTTCGGGACCGGTTGCACGGAGATTCGCCGGAATTTAATGCATGCGTAATGAACTACGAACACGGCGCGATAATCAACGTCCGCCTGGCCGGTGCATAATAGTATAATAACGTAATTCATAATGACCAGGATCGTTCGGCGGGTATAATTAAAGGGCGTGATTGATGTTGTCCACATGACTCGTTAGTATTCGCAGCGAATCGTCCCGCGGATGCACCGTTGTTTCGCGATGGATGATTTAGTGCTGCAGTTGGTACCTCTGACGCGAGACAGTTAAACAAGTGTCTATAATTTTTGAACTTGGAATATAAGGCAACGTACAATTTCAAACGGAAACAACCGTAGACGTTACGAATTCAACTGAAGAGAGTGGAAGATATAGAAACACTGAAATTAAAATATCAAGGAGTAAACAAATATACGTCTCTATTAATAAACTGGAAGGTGGAACTTAAAATTAAAGTGATTCGATAACAATGAACTTTAACCCTCTGTAGGCCCATGTAACTTTAAAGTTACATATCAGTATATTGGCATCTTGTTGATTTATTTCATTTTGCACTCGAAGTGACGAATAAAATTAAGTAATCAGTTAACTTAAAATGAAAGTTTAACGTCATTGTAACTTGAAAGTTACAAAATGTATTCGTTTGATAGAATTATGGAAACTATTGAACACATTGTTAATTCGTATTCATATGTGGATTATTAATTTTGTACTGTATAGATTTTGTTATAATCATGAACAAAAATTCGGCCCATAGAGGGTTAATAACAACAATTCAGACTGCCTTCTAACATACAATTGCTGGTTTCGAATAGAAACAACCATAGACGTCAAAAATTAAACTGAAGAGAGTAGAAGATATAGAAACATCGAAATTAAAATACCAAGGAGTAAACAAATATACATCTCTATTAATAAACTGGAATGTAGAACTTAAAATTCATTCGATAACAACGAACTTTAATAAGCTTAATAACAATGCGACGAGATAGACGTACATTTATTTTCAGACGGCCGCAGTGATCATAAATCGGGATGAAAAAGCCCTGGGAAATATAAAATACGCGTAAAGCCGTCCGTAAATACAGAATGACGTTGAACTACGTCGTCGACTGACGATGTGTTAAAAGCACGGTCGGTCGCGGCGGAGCAGCTTCCCGCGCGAGCCGAGGGTGAGTCGCACGGAAAAAATGGGAGCGGGACGTTTTCGACGCGACGGAACTTCGAAATTGTTCGAATTTACGGGATGAATGAGCGTCGAGCGATAGGGGGCGTTAACGCCGGCGTAAAATTCTTGCGCCGCCGGCGCGGAGTAAACGGAAGATACACGGAACCGTAAATCTCTCGCGACTTTATTTTCAGAGGCAGCTGAACGTTCAAGGATACCAGTGCAGCGCCGACCTGCGTTACGTGTTGTTCAAGCACAATGTCAAGCCGGTGAGTAGCGCAGCCGCGGGTACGTTTTCGGTGGCCCTCGTTAGACCACTTACCGCTAATTGCGTCGAACGAGACGAAGGGACGCTGCGGTTGCCGGATGATTCCGACAGGGGACGAAAAAGTTTCGAGCTGTGCAGCGTTGCGAGAAGCGTTCTACGGACGAAGCTCTGCAGATTGCAATGCAGATCCTTCGCCCCTTTCGAATCATCCTGTGTGCAGCTGAGAATTATAATATTGACACTAGAACTACTCAAAATGACTGGTTTTGATCTTTCTGTTTCGCAATTATTAGTGTCTTAAACGCATTCAATAATTGAAGTGATCTTGAAAATAGTTTCATTTGAATACTATAATGTTTAAAAAACTGACAATCTATTACAATTTTTATACGGATTACATGTTAATCGTATTAAATGCTCGGTAGTTCTAGTGTTGAACTTCTCGAATTTAATGCAAGAAAATGTAGAAAAGCTTTCATAGTCTCGGGCCCATCTCTAAATTCCATACGACAATCATTGAAACAATGATTGCCTTTCAGGTGTTCAGGAATACCTTCAGCGCTTTCTACACAGTCTACGACGTCACGAACGAGTGAGTAATGTCATCTCGATCACTTCATCGTCAAACTTCCATCCGCGTTCTGAAAGCAAATTCGTCATCCTAATCACCTGTCCGTTAATCAAGAAGAAATATAGCCCGAGTCTGACGATTTCTAATATCCCGTAGCCACCACACGCCGCTCCGGCTGCACATGTCGCGAAGGATCCAGCAGTCGCGACTGCAACACGCCGCCTGGCTGGGCAACACGTCCGGTCTCCTGATGATATCCGAGAACGACATTTACGTGAGAATGGCGCCGTCCGCGTCCGAGGACGCACGACTGACCGACACAGGTGTTCCCGGCGTGATCTACAACGGTGTGCCCGATTGGCTCTACCAGGAGGAGGTGTTGCCGCGGCCCGAGGCCGCCTGGCCGAGCCCGGACGGCACGCATCTCCTCTACGCCGCGTTCAACGACACTAAGGTCACTGCCTTGGAGTTCCCATGGTTTGGCACACAGCCAGGTCAAGACGGGCCCAGTTCCAGCCCGCTGACCGCGACCAGAAGAGGATCATTCCCGCCCTCCAAGTCCGTCAGATACCCAACCCCCGGATCGAACAACCCGGAGGTCGAACTCTGGCTGCTGGAGCTCGCCAACACGACCAACTCGAACGGGACCGGGACTACGAACGCCACCGTCAGCTCGAGGACTAGGCTGAAGCCACCGTCTGCCTTGGATGGACAGTAAGTGCTTCACGGTGGAGCGATACACGGGTTGCTCGGCACAAAGGGAGGGATTCGGTAGTTGCGAACATTGCTGTCACTGTTGGCATGGAATGTCGGTTCTGATTCAGTCAGCTGTAATTGTTTACCGAGGTGGAGTTGCTTTGGATTCGTGAGGATTCAGTGGTAGTACGTTACCTTGGATAAATGGAAGTTTTAACAATGTTGGGTGAGGAATATTGTTAGGTGAATGAACGTGTTGAAGATGTTAACTGCTAACTAATTTCTAAGTAGAATTGATGGATTCAGAAAGAGGTTTTGTCGGAAACTATGTAAGATTGATATATTGATATAACGCTGTTAGTAATTAGCCTAATCGAATGAAAATATTAACAATGTTGAGTGAGGAATATTGTTAGGTGAATGAACGTGTTGAAGATATTAGCTGCCAACTGATTTCTAAGTAGAATTGATGGAAATGGATTCAAAGAGGTTTGGTCGGAAACTGTATAAGATATATTGATATAACGCTGTTAGTAATTAGCCTAATCGAATTAAAGTATTAACAATGTTGAGTGAGGAATATTGTTAGGTGAATGAACGTGTTGAAGATATTAACTGCCAACTAATTTCTAAGTAGAATTGATGGAATCAGAAGCAGGTTTCGTCAGGAATATATAAGATTAACATAATAGTAATGATAATAAAGATTGATAGTAGTGTAGAACCTAATACTTCGAATCTGAATCGAATACTCGAAATTCCAGTTGAACGCGATCTACTATGTGATCTTCGCTGTTCGCAGGGAGTACTACCTAATATCCGCCGGCTGGGTGGGCGACGACTCCACCCAAGTCGCGGTCGTCTGGATGACAAGGTCTCAGAATCTTTCGCTGGTGTCTGCCTGTCGCGCACCTTCGTGGGAATGCGAGGAAACCCATTCGGAGAGAGCGCCGGAAGGACAGTGGCTGGATGCTCAACCTCATCCTCTATTCGCCCCCGACGGCGACAGTTTCTTATTATTAGCTTCCGTTCAGGAAGGAGACAAAGAACATTTCACTCACATCAAACACGTGACCCTTACCCAGCAGAGGATAGCAGTGCTCTCGCACGGTCGTTACGAGGTCAGCGACTCGTCCGAATTACTCGATCAATTCCTCGGCAATTTCTGATACGAGAATAACAGACTGTTCATTCAGATAACAGAATCGTTACCCATTTAAATAATTATCCCTTGTAACACGTTTATACTAGAAATAATATTTCCAATCATCTCTAACAGATCCATTCGAAAATTCCATTATCGAAGATCCTTCTTTCCACTGTTAGGTAAGCGAGATCTTAGCCTGGGACACCAAAGCCCACCTGGTGTACTATTTAGGCACCAGAGAAAGAAGGCCAGGCCAGAGACACCTGTACGTGGTCCGCGACCCCACTGCCGACGATCCCCGTCGCCTGGAACCGCTCTGCGTGACCTGCGACCTCGGCGAAGTGCTCTGGAGCAGCAGGTAAACGATCGACGCTCGAGATCACCGTCACGATCACTAAAGTACTCCTCGTGATAGGTTTTATTACACCAACTGCACGCACTTCAGCGCATCCGTCAGTCCGGCGATCGGCGACGACACTCAGGGTTACTATGTTCTCCACTGCGAAGGCCCGGGCCTTCCTCTGGCAGGTATTCACTTGATGAGCTCGCACAAGATGCTCCGTTTGCTCTACGACACCAGGATCCAGCGAGGGGATAAGCTGTCTCAGCTGGCGTTGCCGACTCGAAGAAGCTTCGAGGTATCTAGCCTCTCGATTAATCTCTTGGGCACGACGCGCCACTATAGTGGCTTTCGCGGATGTCATCTTCCTGAAGGACGCGCCGCTATAGTGGCTCCTTCGCTAGCAATATATCATAGATCATACCCAATTGTATTACTAATTATTAAAGTAAATTGTTAAAGTTAAATTATGTGTATCGTATCTTTCAGAAAAATTTCGATGATTAAATTATAATTTTTCTGAAAGATATACACATAATTTGACTTCAACAGTTTACTTTAATAATTAGTAATACAATTGGGTATGATCTATGATATATTGGTAGCGAAGGAGCCACTATAGTGGCGCGTTTTCGATGATTAAATTATAAACTTCATTCCACTCGCGTAGAAAACAGCATTGTCCGCACAGAACTCTGCCGTACAGAGAAACAGCCTCGCGCAATATTCAGCCGTGCCTAAGAGGTTAATCCTTCACCGGTCCACTTCGAACGTACAATTCCACAATCTGTCTCTTCAGGTGCCGCTGCCTCAAGGCTGGAAGGCTCAGGTGCAGCTCCTGCTGCCCCCTTCGTGGCGCGAGGAGCTGAGGGACGCAGCTTTCCCGGTTTTGGTCGAGGTGAACGGTCGGCCAGGTAGCGAGGCCGTTACGGATCGCTTCAAGATCGACTGGGGCACCTACATGTCCAGCCACAACGACGTGGTGTACGTCAGGCTGGACGTCAGAGGCGCCAGAGGTCAAGGGAAGAGGGATCTCTTCAGGAGGATCGGCGGAGTCGAGGTTCAGGATCAGCTGACCGTGTTGAGACACCTGCTGAAGACCTTGAAGTACCTCGACGTGACGAGGGTTGGAGTGTGGGGATGGGGATACGGTGGATACGTGACCGCCATGGTGCTGGGGAACCAGGAGAACGTGTTCAAATGCGGCGTCGCTGTGAATCCTATCGCGGACTGGCTCTATTACAGTGAGTTGATCGAAGTTACTCTGCGAGATGGCGTTTACTTTGACTTCCGACTCCTTATAGTATTTGCGTATGTTCTGGATTCGTTAAACTTTAACTTCTAAAGTCCCCGTGTATGTGTATAGACTCTAAGTTCCGTTGTGTAATCGAGACTCCAACGTTCCGTTCTAGATTCCGCGTTCACGGAGCGAGTCCTTGGCGCTCCAGCCGAAAATTACAAGGGTTACGTGGAGGCTGACCTGACTCAGCGAGCTAGGCTCGTGCCGAGCCACAGCCTCTACCTTCTTCATGGTCTAGCTGACCTCACCGCGCCTTACACGCACGGCGTCGCCTTCGCTAAGGCTCTGTCCGAAGCGGGAATCATCTTCAGGTACCAGGTGCGTAGAATCCGAGATTGAAAGTCTAAGCCACTAATTTTCACTGAAAATTCTCCCACCTCGAAGCCACTGAAACTTGCACGTTCGAAACGAGGAGCCATCATTGAAACCGGAATTGATCTGTTGCGCAGAGTTACGCGGACGAAGACCACGCCTTATCAGGCGTGTTGGAGCACGCTTATCGTTCCATGGAGGACTTCCTCGCCGAGTGCCTCTCCCTGGACGCGTCCTAGTGCCTCAAGCCGGATACTCCCTCGTTGTCTCTAGCTCGCCTACTTCCGACACATCCAGGACGTCCGTGGATGCTCGTCAAGAAGGCTCACCGATTAGTCTGGTCCGGGTGGATCGTTCCCCGAAGCGTCCGCGTCGTCGTCCGCGTGGATCGTTCGTCGAACCGGACGGTGGACACGAACTCGCGCGCGAACACGGACGAGCGAGCCGGTTCGCCGAGGAGGACGCTTCGATCCTTTTGAAAATTTAAGAGAAAACAAAGAAAAAGAGAGAGAGAGGGAGAAAGGAAAGAGAAGTAAACGAACTGGGCGAAGATCGAAGGGGTTCAGTTGTGATCGATGGGTAGATGGGAGGAGGGACGACGTAAACCTAGCGTTTGTATAATTAATATCGTTGAAACAAAGTAACGTTGTATATCAGCCATCTGCATATGCCTGCGGATAAATTCCTCTTTGCTACGAACAACACGGACACGTTCACTTTGCTCTCCGGAGGCAAGCACCCGCGGACGAGGATCTAGCTGAAAACCATCCCCTGAACATCCAGAGGCGTATCTAGTTGGAGCAACATCGCGAGAGACTCGTCGGTTCGAGGAACAACGGGAGGCTCGCTTCGAAGCGCACGGAATCTCGCGGAGGCCCGGGTCCCGGTGGCTCGGGCGTACCGCGGGCTTGCAAGCTCGCCACATTTTGTATACCAAAACACTCCATTATCCGGCTGGGGGACACTCGAAGGATCGGGGACGCGGGGAAATGGTTGAACGATCGAGCGCGTATCGAGCTTACCGCGAGCTTGCAAGCTCGCGTCCGACGATTTTTTATATCAAGGCTCACCGGTCGGTTCTCCAGTCCGCTCGGAACAAGCCGGGCTTCGGCCGGGAAGCTTGCAGACCTCTCTCCTCGCTGTTTCTACGATTCAAACTATAGATGGCCCTTTTTTCTTTTCCCTCGTAGCGCGTAAGCTCGCGAGACGGGCGATCAGGTTCCCCCTGAAATAGGTGCCTCACTGATTTTCCCGGGAGGGGGGAAGAGCTGGCTACGCCTATGCGATGACACGTCCAGGGGCATCGACACCGTTTCACACCGTTAGATACGAACGCTTAGTCCTAAGTTTTCTGTTGTACAGCTTGGCGCCTAGTCTAATGTACCACGGGGTGATACGCGTCTGTTGAAACCGAGCGCACGGGAAACAGAGTGTGAGAGTGAGAGAGAGTGAGAGTGAGAGAAACGATTCTCCCCGTAAGGAGCCCACGATCCGACCCACACACCGTTCGAATTCCTTGAATATTTGTATATATCTATACACGTCTCTATTGGTGAACGTCTGTTGGTGTAGGGACGCGTTCCCTCGACGAGGTTCGCATGTGTTCCCGTTTCGTCGTTGATCGTTTGTTGTACTATATCGCTAAGGTGTACTATATACAGAGGATACGTGGAGGATGAGGAATAGTTACCCGCGAGTGATGATGATGATCAGGGGAATGTCGAAGCGAGGCTTCGGGGGTAACGTCCGGATTCATCGTATACTTTAGACTCGTTCAAGCACCTCGTCGCGGGCAACGGACCTTATCGTATATGATTATATACATACACACCTTTTGCCCGATCAACGTCGACCGCTTTCGGGGCCCCGAACTAGGTTCCTGATCGGTTAGGATGAGCTAGGTCGTTCGGGACTTTCGTGATCGTTCGCTCGGATGCGGTTCCTGTTGGCGGACTGCTGTTCGGGGTCTGTCGGACTATTCGGAATTCTTTGATCCGTCTCGCTGGTGGATCCAATTCGGCTAATTTGTCGAAGAGTGATCCTTCTGACATTGTTTCGAGGTCAAACTAGGAGCTACCTTTCGTCCGATGGATTGGTAAATTAGTAGGTTTGAATTAGAAGTTTTTTCTTTAAATTTCTGAATACTAAATTTATTACTTACGATAATTTTGAATGGTTCCTTGTAATTTCGGAAAGTTTCTTATTCATTCCTTTATCGATCTAATGATTTTCTGTGAAAAGTGGATTAGTTTGTTTTTGCTTAACGCGATCACTGTTCGACGTCACCTCGATCTTTACGATTAGACAATGAAATGAATTTGAAACGAAGTGAAATTCTATTCGACGAGAGACTGAAAGTATCAATGATACCAAATGACTCTCTCGCCAGTCCGACGGATGGTTACCCGAAACGAGAGGAGGCAATGTTCACGGTTGATCGTAGGAGAGTCGCGCTCGAACGAAGAGAGTCGCACGTCGCCATAATCGCTGCCTGCCCAGCAGCCCTTAAATGCCGACAATCAAGGCTAGTGCAACTAATCAAACGATAATAAATAGAACGGAGAAGATGAAGAAATTACCTAATAATATTAATGAGTCTTAGTTGAGTGATCGATGGTGGTTCGTCCATGTCGGGCTGCGTCGCTGTGCCTCGGCGAGAGAAGAGAAGCAGGTGGGAATAGAATAGACGAAAATAGGGACGCGACGAAGTAGTTCGGAATGGTTTCTCATCGAGGATCATCTGCACGCGGACATGGCGGATCGATAGATTGAAATTACGTGCTTGACGTCGACTGTAGAGAGTACAAAAGTGCGACGCGTGGCGAAGGGATCGCTAGAAAGTCTACTTCACAGGATCAGGAATAATCTTCGTTTCGAAAACACCGGAAACTGCAATGTATTGAACTGTCATTTCTGTTGATAGACATCTGGATGGACTCGTCGGAACCTAGATGATCGATGTTCTTAGACGGTCGACTTCAATGGAGATTCCATTACTTCGAGTCACGCGTTTGAAGCTTTCACGACTTGGAACTGATTTTTGATAAGACAATGCCTTACCTACGAGCATAAACGCAATCCCTGCGCCACGCGGACCGAACAGACACGTTGTTGTTCCACTGTAAACGTTCATCTCGCGAATATTGTCGGAAAGCGTCACCATTTCCCGGAGAAGTTAACGGTTCACCCACCGGCCGATTTACGGACTTCTCGATGTGCAACGTTGAAAAGGAGCTTAACTTTTCGTTCGATGATCACGCGAAAGGATACTGTCGCGTCGCTTAGAAAGGCTCGTTGGCGGAATAGAAAGATTAAGGAACCACCGATGGGTGAAACGTTAGCAGAATGAAACGCGTGAGAATGGGGAAAACACGAGCGACAGGAAGCGAGAACGAAAGGGAGAAAGAAAGAGTTCGTATGAGAGCGAGAGAGATCGCGTGCGAGTGAATGGAAGAGTGAATGTGCAATCGCAATCAATTATTAACTATAATAACGGCAGAAAGTGCGGCGAATTAACGTAGACATAGGTATGGGTCTCACGAACGGCAGGCAAGCAGGCAAAGATCGACGAGGCTGGCAAGAACAAGAGCAGAAGAGAGTGCAAGCATGCGAATTACGCGAGAATTAATCGCAAACAAATGAAACCTTTGGTAGCAGCGCATAAGGGTATCCATAAGCTTTTGGTAACGTATTATCGCCGCTAGGCTAAAAGAGAATTAATAAGATACAACAACAAAAAAAGAAAAACAGAAAAATATATATATATATATATTATATTATAAAAGAAGAAAGACAAAGAGAAAGAGACGCAACACGCAGGACACACAAGATTAATAAATAAATTCACGCGGAAACTCGAGTGTTTCGAGAGCATCGGGCCCGTGCGAAACGAAACCTCGTTCAAAAATTCGCGCGCTGTTCACTTGTAATGGCGACGAGACCCGCTCAAATGGCGACCGGTGATCGCCCGTCGATGCTCAACGATTTCGAGGCGGCGACGAACGAGATGGGGGAGAGGTGAAACGAAACAATGAACTAACGGAAAAGTCGAAAAAAATGGGGAAGAAAGAGGGAAAGAGAGAAAGACAGGAATACTTATGTGGCATACGAGCGTTTGTATAATCGGTCAAACGGGAGGGGTGGGGAAAAAAAACGAATAATATATTAATGAATAACGATACGTCTATTCGGAAATTATTTGGATAATCTGTGATACTCAGATTGACGATTATTATCGGTTATCTCGGTCGGATTTATTCGGAGAATTTTTCGTGTCCGCAGACACGGCGTTCCGCGCGATTTTAACCGGATGCGTGCGCAACGAGTATCGAGGTATTTAATAGATAAGGCGTCGGTTATGGAATCGTTCGAGCGACGCGTTGTTGAAGCTAACCTGGAGGCTGTTGCGAAACTTTTCAATTTCCTTTCGATCGAACCGTCTTGCATTCAACTTTACGAACTCTGCTGTCTACTGTACTTTCGAATATTTCAACTTGCACGCTTGATTTGTAATATTTCACGAAGTCCACCATATAATTCATCGCGGCTCCGTATTACGTCCCGATAGGCGCACGTGAATATTCTGTCCCTCGACATCTGTAATTACCTCTACTCCCCGCAATTTAGTTCTTTCTCTTCGTCAGACAATAATCGTTCGAACAAGAACACAGCGGATACCTGAGCATTGATATTACATTGAGAAGATTCGTAGGTATCGTTGTCTCGCAGAACGTTCCGACCTAGTTTCAGCGGCGCGCTCGCTCCTCGCGATCTATCAGAATCCTCGTAGCAATCGCACCGCCTCATGCCCAACTCGAGACGACGTCCGAACGATCCAAGATATTCGGCAATCGAACCGGGATCCGGAAGTGGCCGGATATTAACGTGCTCGGAAACGTTGAGCCGGGAAAAAAGCGTTTGCCCCGGCGCGGCTCGTTGAATTCGATTGTGGCCGACGCGCACCGACAAATTGTTTTTTATATATATAATGTTTGCTCGGATCATCCAGCGGGCACACGCGACTCGCAGGCGAATTATTATCGTTCGGGAGAGGCGTACTCGATAGTTTCTCGTGGGAGGCCAGAGCACGCGGATTGTTTCCACTCGGTTTTTTTACGATATTCGCACGGACCTGGAGATCGCACATCCACGAAATCGGCCACTGTGACCGCCAATTTGTTATTATCGTTGTTATTACCATTATCGCCGTCTTTTTTTCGGTTTCAACGTGTACCTATGCGTATTGTGAATTATGTCATATGAGGATCGTTAAGTTTGATAGACTCTTATTGAAACTTTTCTTCGTCTCTTTATATAAGAGAGATTTGATCAATGAATGATAGATCGAGTAATTTCAGGTTTATCGTAGTATTTACTTTCCATGCAATCGAAGAGGCGAGTTTGTGAGACTCTTTTAATGTTTGTGAATTAGATTTAAAGAAAGGGCGACCGTTTATTTGTAATCTCATTGGCAGGCGATCTCGCGGATGTCGTTCAAATTGTATTCCACGTAACACCCACGAGATAATCATGTTACTAAGACTCTGCGTTTTTTAATATCAGCGAGGCTCGGCCCGGACAACGGGCGGACAAAAGTGTTTTCAATAAACTGTTACATTACCTGAACCATGGTCACTTCCTTGCCACCCCGTAGACTCTCTTGGAACCTGAAAACGCACAACTTCAGGCTAGCGATGTTATAGGATACAACGTTTTCATTTCTATCTTTGAAATTATTATACGGTACGTATTATACGATACGACGGTCTCATTTCTATCGTTCAAACGTAAATATACAGAATAATAACGAATATTTTTACCGTCGAGTCTGTTAATTGGAGATAATGTCACTGCGTAAACCTCGTAAGAGAAGACGAAGGCGCAGAGTGTTGCCCATCCGACAGATTAATAAAAGGAAATCCGTGCCAGCATTCTCGGAACATCGGTAATGATAATGTGTAACACATTTTTTAAGTAGTGTACGGAAATAGTATTCTTGTGAATGATTCAGTGTTCATTGTTTTAAGGTTAAACGATCATTTTTACGAAACGAGATCGAAGAGCACCCGAAACGCTGTTTCAGAGACGGTTTTGATAGATTCCACGATTCTCTCGAGTCGATCGTCGAGTAGCAGTGTCGTTTGCTTAGGGTCGTATCGTAAGATTCCAGAATTGGTGAATCTCGAGGACAACTGCGACAACAGCGAAGCCAAGGCTTGCAAACAGGAAATGAAGACTTCGCGGCCTCAAAAGGTAACAACTGCTGGTTATTCTCGTTCCATTGATTAAGTAGGAAATTAATAAGGAAACAAAGTTTTCTTATAGATGGAGCCCATCAAAATAAAGAGTTTAGTGAAATAATTGAGAAATATTTAAATAAAATTGCTATTCAAACGATTGATTGAACAAAGGATTAACCTGAAGCATGAAATGAAGCGAATGACGTGAAATTTTCTGAAAAAGCAGTCAATTTTCATTGATCTAGATTTTCTTCGTAAATCGTGTTAGATATAATCGCCACCCATGATCTTGCAAGGCAAATAAGTGGCGCTTAAAAATTTCCTCGAGAACGAAGACACGTTTTCTATCTCCGCCTTGCCCATCCGCATTATTCTCAGCTCTCCGAGGAACGCCTCGTTGATGTAAGGTCGACCCTCGATGGCTATCAACTTTGATAAATCGGATTCAGACAGAGGAACCGTGTTCACACCCAATGCGACCAACTCCGACGGACGAATCCCGAGCCAGCGCACGTTCGGACAAGCTAGGCTCTCCTTCTCTTTAAACAAATTCGCCGATCCGAATCTAATTCCAAACAAATTTTTTTAACATTTTATATCGTCTCAATGAAACTTTCCTTTACTAAAATAAATAAATTTTCTTTTAAAAACTGTCGATGTCCGTCTTCCCATAACTACAGCATATGAACATTTAAATATTCTAAATTAGATCAACAACGATATAAATACGTTTACTAATTTCTTGAAACTGTTCCTTTCTCCATTAGAATAGTATCAATTTTCGATTTACCGATAGACACACATGATGTCCACACCGAAAGGATCCGCGTCCACGATCGCGTAAACCGGAAGCGCCATTTTGTCGGCGAGTAATTTCACCAGCATCCTAGTAGCTACGTCCGGATATCCTTTTCCCGTGATTAGAATGCAGTTCAACAGTTTAGTGCAATCTTCTTCCAACAATTTCTGAAATGCCGAGTCCTTCTCGACGATCAGCGCCATTTTGGCTTTGGTGCGCGCGGAAATCACGTTCGACGCTATGTGCGGAATAAGAGCGCCTCCCGGCACCGTACAGTCGATAATTCGATTATCGATCAACGTGAGCGTTAATTCGCCGGCTGCTAAACCCTTTGACGTCGGCAGCAGATCTGTGTAATTAATTGTTAATGCGAAGGATTACGAAGAGCACTTCGGCTGTTGCGATGCGCATTTACAGTTCGAAGGTAATATCCCTGTATTAACGGTTGAATTAAACTGCTGCACAGTGAAACGTAGTTTCCGATAGTGAATGCAGCAGACAATAAGTAAGATGCGCATGAATCGTTAATGGAATTTCAGGTAATCGGAATTGATTTAGTTCTCCGTTGTATTAGTTTAGTTGGGAATCCGAGAATCAGATTTTCAAGGAAACCTTTGGATTTTAATTACGCTTATATGTGTAACTTATTTTTGTGTACAATATAAATATTGAAATAGGTGAATAAATAAAGTTCGTTGCTGTATAATCACTAATAAACGATATTAACTCACTGACTTATGGAAATATTTAGTTTCACGAGATCAGAGCACTCGATGAAACGCAATATTCGTCTTGTTTGGAAATTTAATATAAAATCAGAGAATAAAAGAAGGAATAAGAGAGAATAAAATACGTAAAACAAAACTTACTGAGCTCCCAAGGTGCGCAATTCAACAGATTTGCCACGTGGTTCACCGTCAGGTCCACGTGTTTCTGTTCTGGCGCTAAGTTCAATGTTTTTTCGTTTTTTAAATGGTAATACAGCGATCGTCTCGTGATTGTGCTATTTGTGATCAACAAACGATGCGCAGCAGCCATTACGGTCATCATTAACGCCAACTTATCTTTACTTCTGCTTCTGGCGAAATCGATCACCGTCCTTTTCTCGTTTCGGTCTGTGTCTTGAGTGGTTTGCTCGAATTCTTCCACAGCTTGTGATTCATCGTTCTCTTCGAAAGTTTGATTATCAACTGAATTTTGCGACCATGAATATGAAACTTGCGGCAGCCGACCGGAACATATTTGTTCGATTACTTCTTTAGTCACACTTTCTATACGAGCTACTAACGCCTCTCTAAATATTATGAAATATATTTTACGCGAAAAGTTATGTTGACATTCAATGTTCGTATGGATTTGAACTCTGTGATAATATTTTATAAACGTTCACCTGAATTCTGTGTTATCTACAATAGGCAAATCGATTCTCCTCTCTAAACTTCTCGTTTCACCGTCGATAAAGGCGAGACTTCTAATAGAGGGATTCTTGTTAAACTTTGACATCTTTTCTGAAATTTTAATGTGCAAAGGAATTTAGTCTTCTTTATAAATTATATAAATTTTATACAATCACCGGTGAAACATATTTTCCTTTCAGTTTTACCGAATTACTGGGTTAATTGTTGTAATTGGGCTTACCGTTCACAGATGGCACAAGGGAGATTATCTTAGTCCTTTTTACCATCGACCTTCCTTACCAACGTTGTATAAATAAATCTAATCTAAGAATCGCCAACCCTTAAAATCGTTTCTTCATCCAACAATAAGAATGTTAACACTCCAGGAATTATCTTAAACTATCTATTTTCGATTAAAAGAAGATTACCGTAAGAAGCAAACAAAATAATCCTCTAAGATGTTTCTATCCAACGAAAGATCATAAATCGCATATTTAAATATTAAATCTCCAATTTCGGAAGATGAAAATAATACAATAATGATCACGAGGACATTAAAATTCATAATAATCCTCGCGCTCTTCGCAGCTACCTCAGCGACCATTAATCGGCATTAGCTAATCTCCTATTAAACGACGCCAATGAAATTGTTAATAACTACCTTCTGCTTATACCGAAACACAGTCCAACAATCTTCGCATACCCATAAACTCAAGCGTAAATCCAATCGAACGAGGACACAAACGAATCATTGAAACACTCCCAATTAATATTTGTTTGCGCGGTTAAAAGAATATTCGCGCGTCGTTATGTAACAAGATTGCAAGCGGCGGGAGGCCCGTGAAATTCGCTAAAACCGCGTAGCCATTAACCACGGGAGAAAAACGAATAGAAAGGGGGTCGAGGAGTCAAAAGGTCGAGGAGGAAGGATCCCCGGTCGCTTTTCTGCGCTCGCGAGCGCCAGATAAAAATCTATCACCTATCCGAACGTAACATTCTCACAGCAATAAACATATTAAGTTCTTCCGCGGCGGCATAAGTATTGATCCGGCCGGGGTCGCGCTGCACCGTGGACGATCGACAACGATTTCCCGGTCCGGGGTACGGCGCACGTATCAAGTAGCGAATCTCAAGAGAGCCGGACACCCCGCTGCGCATTTGTGAGCGGCGGCCATTGAACGCCGCGCTACCGAGTGCACTAAAGACACTTCAGGACCTCATTGTACCGCGCGAAACACAGTGGCCCGCCTGCAAAACGTCCGATTGTAACGAAATTCGCCGGCCCTCTCGCCAGCCGGGACGCGGTAAACAAATTCTCCGAGCAACAGGAGCTTGCCCGAGAAATCGATTTCATCGGGACGAAGATGCGATCGATGCAGTTCGATCGACGATTATTATTCCGAAATTGAATATTTGAGTGTGATGATAGAACAGTGGAAGCTTCGGTGAAGGTATCGATAGAAAGTAGTTCAGTTATGGATATACATCTTTAACCCTTCGAACTCTGACTCCAATATCGCACCAGTTATAATATTAAACATTTTGAATCTTAAAGAAACTACCCTAAAATTATTCGATTTTCCACACATCAAAATTTTGCACTGAGAAATGTTGCATTTCTCATTTTTGCTAGGAATACTATAAAAATTAGTTGCAGTTGCTGATAGAACAAAACAATCCGGAGTGCTAAGGGTTAAGATTTTATGATTTGAAATGATGTATAGATTTTCGAAACTTCGGTTTCAGTTTTTGGGAGATCATTGAGGGAATGTGGGAATTTATAATGCTTTGATCAGGTTTTGGTATTGTACACATTTGCACGTTCGACGAATGCAAGAATGATTTAACTGTACTGTTCTCCGAGGTTGTCGATGAATTTTCGTCACGGACAGTTTTCTGGTGCGCAGATGCAACGATAAATTTCCTCGGACAGAGAACGTCGCAGATTTCGTGGATGTTTTCGGAGCTGTCTACTCGAAGGGACAATGAATACTAACGAGCAGCGATGGACATTTACGGCGCGTGCCAAAACATTTTAGGGTCACCGGAACCACCCCTCCGCAGTGATTCCCCTGCCCCTCTTGCCGGTGAATGTAAATTTATGGTCCGCTCGCGTGATATCGCAAAAAATTGCATTCATTACTTCCGTGAGTTAGCGTGGATGGTCATGGGACATTAAGTTCCTGTTTGAGGCGGTACGTACATATTAAAATCATCATTTATGTAAACACTGGAGGCGTAATCAGTTGATCTGCAGTAAGATACCCAACACTGAAATAATTATCAATTTTCCAAAGTAACACCAATCACTAAAACTAGTCTATTCCCTACGTCTTACATTTACCAATTCCACATTTACAAAGATTGTCGCGAGAGAACTCAATTCTAAGAAAGAACCGTATAAATATAAATAATCAAACTAACAATATCCTAATATTCGCCATCCACAGACAAGACAAGTAACAAATCTACAAAGGAGAACAAACGTCACGTCCTAGCTAATTCAACAAACGACCGAAGAAAAGCCGCGAAAATCCCGACAAGAGGATCGATTACTTTTCACCGGTTGGTCCCGATGATTGCATACATTGCGGTCCGCGCGCAGCCGAATCATTCGCCGATCGAGCCGGCTGCTTATCCGCGCAAACGAGCAGAAACGCGACGCCGCCTTGAAAGGCCTGGCTCCTTCGCCGCGGGTACAAAGGGATTTGTTCACGACGAAATAATGCGAGTGCGCCGCTCGGTTTCGCATTAAAGACACTCGATGATTGCTCTTCTATGAAAGAGTGGCGCGGTGGAAGGGGGATAGTGTTACATTGTGCGACGAGTAGGTTCGAGAAACACCCCTGAGAATGCGCCCTCGAGATCCTCAAATGGCCCGTATAGCGTCCTCCTCAAAAATATCGGTTGTAGCCGGCGAAGATCACGAGAAATTCGCTCGATCCGCCTAATCTCCGTTCACACGCGCGCATGAGATGTACAAATAAAATCTGCTTCGCACAATCCGAAGAATCAAAGGCAATCACAATTCCGTGAGCTGGATTTCCTTCGGCTCGAGAAAAATCCGAGAAAAGCAAATTTTTTTTTTATTTTCTCCCCGTTCGAGCGATTTCAAGGGATTTTCTTTGGGTAGCCAGATATTCGGGGCGCTTCCGGTGCAAGGCCGATGAATCGTAACTCGATCCCGCGGCCTATTTTCCATATTCAGGATAATCATGCGCATTCTGCGCCGGTTTTCGGAGGTAAATCCCTTCGGGCGAGGCCGATTTACTCGAGGGGAATCGAATACCTCGCTTTATTCCGTATTCAAACGTCCGGCTCGCATGATCGAGTATCGAGAATGCCGTTGTACCTGTTCGATTCACTCGGCGGCGACGATTTGTCAAAATCCCGGTGGAAGTTTTCGCGTGCACACGTGCACACCGGGGACCGGCGACAATCGTCCGTGACGCGCGGCGCGGAGGACACCGAATATTTCAATCTTGTCCACGTCCGTGGGCCGAGCACACGAAGAATGTAGCTTTCGAACCGTCGCCGGCAGATCGTAGATCTCGGCTTCGAGGTTTTTTTTCGTTTCGAGCACAATGAAACCTTGGCTGGAGCGCTTCCGTTCGACGTTCCGTGAGTCTGCGGTCTTGCTCGGTGTGAGGTGATTTCAACCCCCTGTGCATTTTAACCCTCAGTATTTCGTTAGAAATACTTAACATCTCCTAATTAGACGAAGACGATAGTTTTTTTAATTAACTCAAAGAGAATGCACAAGTGAATTGAGAAACAAAGCTTTCGTAACACACACGGTTTAATATTAAATATCAAATTTTATAATTTTTCTGCATCGAATCGAGAGTCACCACTCGAGTGCAAGGGGTTAATTTCTTGTGCTGATATTTAGAAAGAGAAACTTTTCTTTGATAATAATTTCGCTGTTATTGATATGTTTTGAAACTGATTTTCAGTTTCTATTTCAGTGAAAGTAGCGAGAGGTCCTCTCACCCCTTCGCTAAACTCATAAACTCTACTGTTTGAAAATTGATTTATTATTAATTCTTCTATTGAATTATTGGTAATTCTGTCGTCTGATGAATGGTTTAATCCTTGGAGCGACGGTATCAGTGAAAATTCTCTGTTTTGCGAACAACTCCCTCGGCGCGCTGAAATCGAGAACAATGCAGCTCCGTAACGACAGGAGTTTCTGAAGGTAGGAGAAAAAAGTTGGTTCTGTTACAAATTCACGATCAATTTCCTCGCATCGGCGAGCACACGTCGATCGACAATGGGCAACGTAGAGCACCTTTCTCCCGGCGCGGCACCACCCATCTGCATTTCTTTGCTCCGGTACGTTAGCCAACCCCATGCTCCTTCGACGGCAACCCCCACTGTTTGGACAAATACGATGTTATCTGTTTCACCTTAGGAGAACGGTGGTAACCGCGCGCATGTGAAGTGACGCAGATTAACCGATCAACGACGGTTCGAATCAGCCGATCTCTCGCGATCGGATCGGTCTGTTCGAAGAAGTACCGTATTATTTCGAGTTTTTTCTCGAATCCTGTTAACTACGAGTATCGATTGCGAGATCCGAATCGGTCCCCCGTGCTCCAGAAAACGTGTTCCTTCCAAGAAGTCCGATAATCACCCGATACAAATCGTTCTTTATTATCGAGCGAAAGGGAAAACAGGAGAGAACAGTTCCCAGCGAACAAATTAATACGAGCAACGAGCGGATACCGCGAATACGATCATCGCTTAAAGACTCGCATTTCTACGCGCCACCTCAAAGGAGCTGAAACCAAATAAAAATTAATTCCCCCCGGTTACACGTCCCTTTCACTTCGAAGGAGTGTACGCACACAATAAAAACTTTACGCGCGCAATTAACAAACTTCACGCACTATCCGATGAATATTCAAACGTCCCGTAAGAGCGTAAAATCCTTTATCCTCTTATAAATTGAGTAACATGATGCACAGCCGACAGACAAACCTGCAGAAATGAATTAAATCCGTCACACCGGCGTTAAACTTGAGAATCGACAACCATAAAAATCCCCGACCGTAGTCTTTATTCGACGATCCGTGAATCGGCGAACCGACAAAAATGCGGTGG